TTTTCCTTCCCCTCCCCCTCCCCCCTTGCCCATTTCTTCCACCTGACGCCTACTCCCTCGGTAAATATTTCCTCGCCCCAGTTAGCCTGCAGAACAGGTGGGCCAGAGAGCGAAACGCTAGAGCGAAGCGCGACCACGAGCGCGAAGCGCAAGGCAAAAAAATTTCGTCTCGCGCTTCGCACTCATGGTCGCGTTCCGCGCCCGTGTATCACGTCTCGCTCACTGCCTCGCTAATCTGCCTGTCCTACAGGCTACGCCCCAATCCCCCACAGTTACCAAATCCAAGATGGCGGCCTAATACGAAAATGTGCACTCGCGCGCCCAAAATACGTCTGCACTGCAGGCTAGTAGTTAAATGTTTGTCTTTTGCAAGGCTTTTTTATTTCGTCAAAAACTGATAAAAAGCCCTGCAAGCTGTATGCCAAACCGAGAAACTTGCATTGTGCATACATCTGATTTTAAGGCTCACCAAACCACCTCGTCAAGTCAACCCATGTCCCAGAAACAGACGGTCTATCTTGTAGCTACACAATGGGGCTCACTGTAACAACACCTTCCCACATTATGGACCTACTATGGTACTTGCCCACTCCATTATCTCCTCAAGTAGAAGCCGTATCACCTAACTGTAAATTTCTCCATCATTAACTGCGATACCATAACGTTTCGACAAAGGTCTTGGTTTTAGTAGCCTTGCAAATGGACAGGTTTGACGAGTTAATCACGACAAATATGATAACGCATACGCAATTTGAATTTAAAGGTACAATATATTTCTTGTTTTAATTTTTGAATGAGTTCTAGTCATTTCATGCTACAGAAACCAGAGATGGGCACCGGCCTGATGGGCGTCTAGGCTCAGACTTTACCTTTTATACCTATCCAATATATAGAGAAAAAAATGGTTAGACTTGTTGATAAAGTGTTTGTCCTTAGAGTAAGTATTCTCTGAAGAAATTCTTTCCGGTGATAAAATGGTGACTGAGACCCGGACTGAGAGCTGACTGAGGCGCCATTGTGTTTGGTACCTAGGTAGACGTCATCAACAACCGCCGCCCCAGACTCCCTAAAACGCGGTCGTGTAACACTTCAGGCGCGACTTTGAAAGGGCATAGAAAATCGAGGATTCAACCAAATTCAAAAATTTTTTCGCCCAAATGCTTCGAATAACAAGTGGATTCGTTTTAGCGAAAAAACATTTTTGGGGTTAGGTGCACTTTAACTGGTCTTGTCTAACTTTCCATCTAATTTGATTTTAGGAATGAAAAACGTTTTAGAGTTATTCTTTTATGAGGACAAAAGGCAAATAAAAGCGGGGGAGGTTTTTTAGTTACAATTTGAGACATTTTTCAAGAGAAATAAACAGTGAAACTCAAGCTTCTCTCGTTCCTTGCTCGTGGATCGACGGTCTAAGGTATTTTTAATTATGAGGAAACAATTCGGAAAAATAGACAGCTGGGAACACCATGCATGTAATATTTCATCAAATGTTCTTAGTGATTCATTTCTCTCCATAGTTAAATAGAAGACTTGTGGCAGTCGAAATTTCATGCAAAAACTTAAGTATTATGTTTGGGTTCCAACCCTGTCGATATTGTTAAATATTCATTAATTTTGTTCCATTGTAATTTCTGTACCCCAGAGATTTGGAAGCCAACTTTCTTTATGGCTGCACCAACAGTAACATCAACTAAAGAGACAACAAATTATGCGCGGTTGTGTCGTCTTCTTATCGATGTTGGATCAGACGCCCTGAGACACATTTTTGATGGCATTCACCCACCGGCAAAGCTTTCCTCAGTTTTGGCTAGTGCCACTGTTCGTAAAAATCTACTAGCACTTAGCAAGAAAAGAGTCCTTAACCCAAAACAGTGGAACATACTGTACCCGTCTGCCACTGCAATGGTGTCATCAAAGCAGTTTGACATCACTCTTTTGAGTGTTCTTTTGAGAAACATCTGTGGGTTAAGTCCTCCTACAACAACTAGCTCGTGGGACAAACTTCCTCCTGTAACAGACATCAGTCCTGAAGCAGACATGGTTCGCGTAAAGTATTTTCGAAACACCGTGTATGGTCATGCAGAACAGGCCTCTGTTGATGATGTAACGTTTAATAACCAATGGACGGACATCCGGGACGCACTCGTGAGATTGGGAGGACCAAGTTATGGAGTTGCTATTGACAAATTGAAGACTGAGGGTATGGATCCTGTAGCTGAAGAAGATTATAAAGATCTACTGAAACAGTTAAAGAAAGATGATGATGACGTCAAGGGTAAGATTGAAGAATTAGTATAGGAAATCGATCTGTTCGAGAAATAATAAGGGATTAATTGTACGCGTGAACAGATCGGACTTTTTAGTAATTTCCACGAGTGGCTGCTGCAGCCACGAGTGGAAATTAGAAAAAGTCCGATCTGTTCACGCGTACAATTAATCCCTTATTGTTTCGAGAAAAAAGATCGATTTTCTGTTAATAATACGGCAACCGTAAGTACAAGCTTTTATCTGACGTCTTTTCGTTATAGAGGGTTGCTAAAATGAAGCCACGCTGTGATTGAATATTTTAGTTTTGTAACATTGTTTTCTCAACACTTTTCGCCAAAGTTCTCCATAAAATAATTTCTTTTTTTCGCAAACGAGCCACAAAGACGAGCATGTCCCAAGTCTGCAACATGAAGTTGAATATTATTGGCTTGAGAGCTGTCAAAACTCTGAGCGCGTGAGCGACATAATAAATGACCTACAGGAAAGGAAGTGCACGTCGAAACGGTAAAAGCGTTATTTTACCGACAAAACTCGCATGAAAACGTATTTTTGGTGTTTTTGCTTAGTGCTGCTTCTTCATAAGAAGCTTTTTGTTTGTCTGAGACGGAAAACCTAGAAGTTTTGTCCGACTCCATTGCTCAAATGTGACCGATACAATTAAAATTAATTTTAATTGTTCAGCTATCGATACAACTTGGGATAAATTGGTCCGCTTCCAACCAATCAGAAGCGAGTATTTACGGTAGCATTATTATAAGATAAGAAATTTGACGGTGATTCTTAACTATTGTATTTGAACTGTAGTCTTCAATGATCTTTACTTAAGGTTTTTTTGGTTCATGATACATGTGTATGTTATATTACGTTCTGTTACCTGCTAGGGTTTTAAAAAAGTAAACTAGAAATTAACGTAAATCTAAATGGTCGTGTGTAAACTCGCGAGAACACGGGACGAATGGAGAAGTGACAAGGGCAGAAAACACGTTTACATCTGATCAAAAGCTCGAGAGACTTTCATCGCGAAATTCAACGAGGAAGTTGTGAAAACACAAATAGAAAACGTGCAAAATAGATATAAACACAAGAGAAAATAGCACGAAAACGAAAATATGTCCGAATTTGATCGGCGCAACCTTAAAAATTCTTTGTACTAAAAATTCACATTTGTGAAAGCGGATAACGTCATTAAGCACGAACAAACCATGTTCAAGGCGCTATTTTGGTGCCAGAGCTGGAGAGGTATAAAATGTAACAGCTCCTAAAATTTAAGTTATTTAAATTTAAGTTATATTAAGGTGGCCGAACACAGTTTTCGCGCGCGCTTTTGCTGATGCGATTCAGCGCGCGCACAAGGATTACAAAAAACAAACATGCCGTCAATAGAGCGATCATTTTATYTACTCAACACCCGCACWATCTGTGCTAYTTTTCTCTATAATTGAACGCAGTGTATTGATGGTTTTAACCTTTTATTACAAAGATATGTTAGAAAAGGTAACGATGCAAAAAACCCAGCAATTCTCAGCTTTTTCTTTGTTACCGAAAGAACCTAGTTAAATGCAGCGCATGCGCAGTAAGTAAAAAAAAATTGCGATCGAATGAAAACTTGCTTTCTCGGAAATACGTCTTTTTCTCGAGAACCACTCATTAGAATTCACGAAATTTGGCACGAAAATACTTTAGGAAATAAGTAACTGGAGTATTGAAAAAAACTGAACTTTAACAAAGGAAATTCTAGATATTTCAGTAAACCTTCAACAAGGGATAATTAAAGATCTCTCTGTTAAATTATTATCAAAATGGTGTTAACGTGTGAGTATCGTTACAAGCTTGCTACATGCAAATTATAAAGAAAATCTAATGACTAGATTTTATACAAATAAACTAAACCGATTTTAAAGGCCTGTTTGTATTTGCTCATGTTGCCATGGCAACGACACATCACGTCAGCTTAACTATCAAAAAACCAAAGTTTATGTTGTTACCTTGCCTACTGCCATTTTTGGCGACCGAGGGATCAAGGGTTTTAGAGAAAAAGGTGAATGAAACACAGGTATCAAAAACTGTGTTCAGCCACCTTAACTTGAACAATATGCTACCGTTATGTCGCACAGTAAGTATGAGGTTTAAATCCATTATAAGACTTGTTCAACTAGATGAAATTTTGCATTTCAATCCTTGCATTGCAATTTACTTTTTTCTGTAAGAGGTTTCTGCCCATGACGATTGAATCACGACTTACATCTTTTTTGCAGATAAACTAGATGAGATGTCCAAGAAGCTCGATGATTTGGCAAAAGAGAAAGGTTAGATTTCTAAAGCAATAATTTTCCTATCAGAATGGATCGCCTTTGACCCCTTGGGTTTCCATCCATCCACCCATCTATCCAATCAGGCGGGTGAACGGGCGGGCTATCAGTCACCCACCTTCCTTCCCCCCCCCGCCCCCAAACTCCCTGATTATAAATAAATCTTATTTCAATTTTATACAAGGGCAATGCATAGTTATAGTATTAGTAATTAACCGCGCGGCCATGGGCCGAGCGCGGTTCATGTTCTACCCT